CAGCTTGAAATCCAGTCGGCTTTCTGGCCATGGAGTACCGAGGACTTTACCTGACAAGTGGTGTGGGTTGGGCCTGAACGCGGGACATGTCGGAAATTTTTTATTAGTCATATGAGTGCCTATAAGGCCCATAAGATGCCATAAGACGGGTGCCGGATATAAGCCCTCACGGCAAAAGGCGAAACTATAAGGAGCGGATCATCGGCATGATAAGGGCTTATCAGTGATGTTCATTACCTGCCGTGGGGCAGATAAGAGGCCGTCTCTGGCGGTCTGCGCTCTGATTGATGCCAGTGGACAGCGCACCGACGATGGGTACTCGTTCAAGTTGGTGCGAGAGCAATGTGTCTCTGTACTCAGTTCCCACATGCATAATGTATGGTAAGGATATACAATTCATCACTAATATAATCTTTGCACATTATGGGCTACTCGTTAAGTATAAAATACGCCAGTACCTGCATCGGGAAGATAAGAAAAAACCGTTCCTGGCCGTTCTTGGCCTGTACAGGCTAAACGGCCGGGTCCAGACCGGCTATGTCTGTTTTTCCGCAGGCTGGATTTTCCGTGTAAAGACCCGGCCATACAGCCAGCTTTCCCTAGGATAATGTGAGCTCACTGTCATCTTTATGTTGAGTCAACATTGCTGATGGTATTTATTCCTTCATATTGACAAAATCCTGACCTCCGAGTGAGATATTTGGGCCACTTTTTGCGGCTGTTCAACCGTTCAGCCTGCGAAAATGGCTTAAGGGTCGAAAAAGGCCGGAACCGGCTGCCGGAAAATTACTCGTCTTCCTGATGTGAACGAGGACAATATGAGGGAACGGAAGGAAGAATAAGGGAAGAAAGACACACCGTTAGATGAAGCTACTGTCACTGACATAGAGGTCTTGCATCTTGAGCTTGTATCGTCGGACGGCATGGTAATCTGCAAGCATTAGTCCAGTTATGGGGGCCACTGGATGAGGGTGTATGGGTTAGCTTGTTGAGCGGAGGTGGCCAAGAGACATTTTTACACATGGAATACACCGCCTCCAGATGACACGGTCACTAAGAAGAAGCTAGTGCTACGCCACTGCCAAGGTACTCCCATGGACTGGTGGCAAAACCAACGATGACAAGGAAGTAAGCACCTCGGTGAATGTTGAGGTAGTTGCTGCAGAGATGGACGAGTGGATGTTAGAGACAAAAGAGCTTTGCGAGAGATATATGGATAGGTACTTACGGGCACAGTCTGCTGCGCGACAAAAAGGTCAAAGGAAAAAGGGCAATGCATATGTTGGGGAGCACGGAAGAAGCGGGGGAAAGGTGATGTTCGCCTTGTTCATAGATCTGCTGACAGAGTTCAGAACGATACTGATACCCAATTGGGCACAGGTGCATCCGAGACCAGCGAAGAACCTATTTCATAGTCTTTGGTAAGTTGGGAACACGCGATGTCAAGTTTGACTGAACTCACACTGTGGCAGCCTGTACTATCGACAAGAGGAAACCTGACGTTAGCGAAGTGTTCTGTATGAATTCAAGAGAACCGATTCACCTCGAGGGGAGTTTCCGCTAAAAAGGGATTGGTCAAGATTAGTCCCTTGATATTCGAGAATGGAGCGTAAGCACACTCACTAAAAGTCCTGCAGGGTTCTAAGGAGAATGACGGGAGACTATATTACCTGGCTGCTAAGGATTTGTTGAGAACAAGAGGTGACCGGTGACCACAATCCCAACGAGAGCGGTCACAATGATCGTAAAGGGGCTGTAGGGCAGAGAAAGCAGATATCGGTTGGTCAGTAATCATTCTGCAGCAAAGACCCAGCTGTGAATGAAACTCACGCAGCACGCAGCGACCATTTGTGATAGTGTTCGCACATCTATGGGGGAACGAGCACAGGAGAAGGTTTGGATGGGGATTCCTCAGAGGAGCTTCTGTCCTGGAGCCTCTGGAACCATTATAAGTTCAGCACTGTCAGCCTCCGAATGGTCTGTCTCCTCTCTTCGGGCGATCTGAAGATAACACCGCAACAGCCGCCGTCTCTATGCCAATGTGGCCTCTCCAGCGTAGGTGTTTTGTGCATCGTCTCATCCAAGTCATTGTTGTCAGTAACGAGGTCTAAAACAGAGAACAAACACGTACCTGGTTCTTCCCCGTTCTCGTGGTCAACCTGTGCTTTTAAGCCTAAGCATTCTAGTATCCTCCTGCTTGTTCTGAAACTTGATCTTAATACGGCCGCCGCCAGGCTTGCTTGTTCATTTCATTCAAGAATATAGTCGGAATGACTCGAAGGGATCTAGTACAAAAAGAGGGTATCAGCTTCTCAATTTCGAGCGTTGGGATTCCTTGAAATTCACGATAGAAATGTATTGTTACCACCTCTTTTTGAGGTCATATTTCGTGTAAGCAGGTTTATAGGATGAATTCTATCTACTGTTCAGCGATAGTACGAGAATGACGCGACTTAAAAACGTATGGAAAGCCAACAATACGTTGGTGGTGGTGGTTGGTGTGAAAGGGAGAAAGCTGTGCAGCGGCACCTCGCGGGACTGGTTGACGCCGGAGACCTGGGGGGGGGAAGCAGCACATGACCGGTTCAAGTGCTGGCTTACGGAGACTTACGGAGATCGCAGCACCCTTATCACCGGCAAGGAACAAACTGACCCATTATAGTGATCTTACAGAGGGTTACGGACCCCACGGCACGCTTATCACCGGCGATAATCAACAAATTCCTTATCAGCGGGATATGAAATTTCCGACAAAGACAAGTTCTGCATCTCTTGACTCCGAACACTACTGCAACATAATCTGCCAAAACCTCCCACATCCAGGACGGGAGTACCTTGACAGCTACCTTATTGGTACAACGAAGGCGGCGAAGATGTTAACTGTAAGCCTGTCCTCTTATTTCTCCCTCGCTCGTACTAATACTGAATCCCTCAACTCAACTAATTGTGGGAGATGGTGCAATAGAGCTATCGTGGCATAGCTAGTAGTCATGATCCTGTCTATTGTTGCCAAGGTGAGTTTCCCCGTAGTTTCTACTGGGGTTTTCAATCACCTGTGATCTCTTTCCTCTGTTTGTTGCTCTCGCCCCCAGCTTCACTTCCTCCTTGCAGTTGAAATCTACTACTCTCATCTCGCACGAATCCCTCAACCAACACCAGAGCAAGAACTTGAATTTACAGAGCTCCAAGAACAAAATGTCGCTTTATGACGGATCTACCTTGCACAAAATTTTGGATCTGACAGCAACTCTACGTAGGACGAAGAAATAGTCGTCTATACACATATTTCACCTGGCGAACTGCATAAAATGTTCGGCGGGAGGCTACCGCGCAATGGGTGACGGGGATGCCGTCTCAGCCACCAAGAAATTTGAGTCCGCCCTCCATTCTGAGTCTTGGGAGCAACGATTCAGGATCTGGTGGGATGTCGGGGTCTACAATGTGGAGTCAATACAGCTGGCTTTTATAGAGACGACGATGTGACTGCCGTCCCTTGAGGAAGTGTTTGGCGTTGAGGATGATGATACGGGCTTGATCTGGTTGGGCGACATCGGCGGAGATGACATCAACTCGGGAGAGGAGCATTTGGTATTTTTGAGGGAGACGGGTGTCCCCGACGATAGCTGAGGAGGCGTAACTTTCAGTGAAACAAAGGACGGAGGATGTTGGGAAAGAGAGTGTACGGATGACATTTGTTTGCTTCTTCACCATGTTTATAAGGTCACGGCCTGACCGTAGAGAGAATTCGACTGCGTAGACGACTCCTTCCTGCAAAGTATTGGTCAGATGTTGAGATGAACAAAAAAGAAAGGGAGTGATAGAGCGTGGTGGGTCGGGAACACTGGCAGACTGGAAGTCGCACAGAGGAACATCTGTGGTCTTTCACGCCGGAAACGATATCCTGGTAGATCTCAGGCACAGAAACGCCGACCTCGGTCCTCGACTAACAGAAATCGTCTAGATTGTCCAATAGGAACATTCTTGTCTATCCACCGCTTGTCTTCCCTGGATGATGGGTTTGTTAAGGTATGTCGATGTCAAGTATTTGAGGCCAGCAAGGGAGGTGTCTGGGAATAAATTAGCTGTTCTGTAATGCACACCCATTTTCATGTCTGTACCTTTGTTACATCAGGAAGATTAGAAAAAACCGGTCTTGGCCGTTCCTGGCCGGTTTACGCTAAGGATCAGGGTCTCGACCGGCTATGTCTGTTTTTCCGCAGGCTGAGTTTTCAGCACACAATCAAGCCATACAGCCAATTGCCCGAGGCAAAATGTGGGCTCACTGCCATTTTGAGTTCGAACAGATAATGCTAAGGGTACTTATCTCTTCATAACCATGAAATAGGATACACTGAGCGAGATATTTGTGTAGCTTTTCCGGACCTTTGAGCCTGTCAGCCTGCGAGCATGGCTGAAAGGCCAAGAACTGCCGGAACCGGCCGCCGGAAAATCACTCGTCTTCCTGATGTAGAATGATGATCCTTATTGTACAATAATCTTGACTGATGACTGAGTGTGTACCAGCCTTACCAACTTGAAGTATGGTATGTACATCTTACATTCCATCTTTTGGTGAGTTGTACATCTTGATACAACCTTACTACGTTTGTACAACCTCACTAACAATTTTATTCAAGTTACATCCTCTTCCATCTTTACGCCGGGTGTACACCTTTGTCGACAACATGGAAAGGTACTGTACTCGACCGAAAATCCTGGTCGCGGGTGCCCACCCCTTACATTCTCGGGAACCGTCCATGGGGTTTTGCCGATGGGGGTGGGACTGACCGTAGCGGTGGCATACCGTGTCGATGAAAGACTCAAGAGGCCTCAATCGGATTCGGTGCCGAACACCGTACGATATCTACTACTTGCCTGAAAGCTAGCAATTACTGTAGATACTCATTGTAATGTATACGTATTCCACATGTCAAACTTTTCAGCCTTCCGAGATCCAGGAACTTTTGATGAAAAAACAAAACTGCGAGATCAAATGTATATAGCAGCAACTTGTTTCGATCAAGTGACCTCGGGGTACAAAGGCTACGCATAAGAGCATGCTGATACATATGGGCCCCGCGCGCTACCACTGCGCCATGCTGCTAAGTAAGAGACTGACTGGCTGACAGCACCATACCGAGCCATCTCGATTGTGTCTCAGAAGGCATCTTTCCTGGTGAGTATGTCGTTAAAATTGTGTGTAACAGATGGCGGATCATAAGCATGTATGTAGGTAATGACGGCGATAGATGGGATAGATGATAGCAATAACGATCTGACTCGGGTCCATTGAAAAAGTGAAAGAGCAGAGAAGAATAAGTATATGCGATATGCGATACACAGTCCATCCAGATCCCAAAAGCCCAGGAAAAACACAACGACACGTTAGTCCCTCGTATTGGAGGTAAGTCCTTCACAAGCGCCCTCAAGCCTTGCCCATACCAAACCCCACTATCCTTGTGCCTTTGATACGTCGTATTGACAATTCGACGTCGGGTGGGGAGAGTGTAACGACAGAGCCTGATTGAGATTGGTTATGTCGTGAATGTTGTGGTTTGCTCCCGGATCCCGACACCGACCCAGAAGCACCAGTGAAGAGAGGAACGGCAGCCGACGATGTGGACATAATCGAGTATCGTTGACTCTATTTCTCGGATGGATACGATGTCGTACTCTTCTCCCCGAGCCGCTCCAGTCTCCCAAGGCGCCACGGGGTTCACATCCGGTCTGTGCTCCTCCTTCGGGACGAAAGGCGTCACAGCCGCATACATATGCACACCACCCAGATACATCCCTGATCCTCCGGCACCACTATACCAATGTTAATCCGTAACACCTTCTGTTATAGACTGACGTCCTTTTACTGGTTAGATATCACTTAGAAAAGTATATTCAAGGTACGAGAGTAAGTTCCTTATCTTTACCTAAGATTCAGTGAGCGAAGCCGCGGTCAACTGGATAAAGGGCCGTCGGGACAAGGTGAGCGTAATCGCGGTCAACCCTGTTCAGACGAGACACTTACACTTCACACGAAGTTAAGTAAGTAAAAGAGATAGGAATTTGGATGTCGTGTATCTAAGTAGTACAGTGGTTTATATAGATTCCCGAGAGGAACTGCTCGAGTCATCTAACTAGTCAGAAAAGAAGGTAAGAGTCAAGATGAGTCAATCGTAGTCATTAACACAGTCAGAGTTTCATGATTCTAGGTTTGGCGTCAGGACCAAGGCAATGTGATCGGGACCGAGACTTACTTTGGGTTCGTATCCATCACACCTTCCCTCTGATTTCTCCTCCATCGTTTCATCAAGAACCAAATCCCCAATCAGAGTAGAACAAGCCCAACAACTCCACCAAACGCAGCCTCAAAAATCATCCCCATCACCTGTTTGCTTTCTCCGAAGACGTCGAAACCACCCTCACCGGTGTAACCAGAAAACCAACCACTGAATCGGCGATTTATCCGAATCGTACACCCCCTTGTACGTTTGTGTTCCTTGGAACCGACACGTTGAACAAGATTTGGTTTCGGCTTGGTCGTTTGACATCTTTTTGGAGGCGGGGATGGTGAATGATGTGTCTTGAGCGTCATCGATGTACCGGGCTGGGGAGGATGACCAGGATTAGATGCGAGGTGCCTGTGGTGGATCTTAGTTGGCTGAGAGGAGAAAGAAGTGGAATACGGATGCACCGTTGAACTCAACCTGAAAAGTCCCACTCGTTTTTCCAGTGCTGGTGAACGCACCTTCGAAATCAAGCTCCCTCTTCTTTGTCCCATCCATCGGCCTTCGAATGCTTTCGTCTCAACGTCAAGTGTTCAATTGTTCAAATCGAGATAGATGTTCTCGACGGCGATTTGATTGTTGGATGCTTCCGACATGCAATGTATGAGCAGAGGATGTGTTTTGGTTGAAGGTCATCGAGTCAGGGCTATGCGTCCAAGTCGAACGAGATAAAGAAAGGCACGCGTGAAAGGTTGCGGCTAGATGAGAAATACGAGGTGTTTGACCAGTTTTCACGCGCACGTTCAGTTGAGGTTGATGAGTTCGGAGGAGAGACTCGATGATGTAAAAGTCCAAAGTTGTGAGCGCGCCAGTCTGACAAGTTGATGGCCTTCTCCGACAATTCGCCGACGGTGAATTTTTGCCGCTTGGCACTCTGTACTCTTCCCTCTCCCACTAGTACTACGCTGCATATCCTCTCTACACCTCTTCTGATCAATTTGATGGCCTCTGCTGATATAGGGAACGGGAAATTGGAATAGCCAGGAAGGAAGGAGGTAGAACTCGTGCGTGTAACTGACAAGCTTGACTGATTAACGATTTACCTGATATTCACACAACTTGAAGCACTGAGAACCCTCCAACCACAAACTGAACAATCATCCCACCGACGTACAGGCATCGGTACCGTCTCTCCCACAACCAGCGTACTCGTATCTTTTTTCGACTCTGCTATCGGCAACGTACACCCATCTACTCGAAAAATATCTGAAGCGTTCAACAGGGAAAACCTCCATCAACTCCACATCCCGACGATCGAGCGATTCCTGAGATCTCCACCTCAACCAAGTTACACCATACTGTAAATCACTTTGTCTGAGTTTGTTGCGGTGATATCTGGCTGGAACGGATTAGGATTAGGAGAGCAGAACCGACTTCAACATTCAACATTCATGGGATTCCCCTTTCCCGAGCAGTCTATCCATCGAGGTCTATTGCACTACCCCTCTCCTGTAGCTTCCCAGTGACCGTCATTGCCGTTCGCTCGTCCTCCCATTCAACAAACTCGATTAGTACTAGCTCTATTCTCAATACGCGGGGTTCAACGCCGAACGGTCGTCTAAATCTGAAATGGAACTGGATGCAGCCAACTTCCTGTACACTACTGGTCTTCTGACGAACACGGCCAATCGCCCTCTCCCAAGTTGATTGTAACAGGCTTGGCCTTCCCATCAAGCTTGACTTTCACGATACCTGCGAATCTTACGCTTGGTCCAATAGAGTCTACAACAATCTCCACCAATATCAAGTTCTCCGCACAACCACTTTCGCTTTATCTCGTAGCTACAATCACACTTTCCGCCTCTAGATGACTCGGATCGTTTTCAACCAGGCTGGGCCCAACATCAGTCTTTTCAGTTCGATAGGATCTGATTTCTTTTCTTTCGTTGGCAGACCCGTTACCCAACTACAGAAGTAGACCCTTGACGTCAATATCCAAAGCTCCACCAACTGAATACGCCACCCAAGCTCACCCTACTAAACTGCCTCTCTCTAGAACTCGACGACCTGCCAGCTCTCAAGGCGCCTCGCATGAGTTTGTGCCCCTTGTGACGTGCTTTGACCGATATACACGCCGTCGCCGCAGCGATAACATTGGAGAGTCCCAACCCCTGAAGGTCGGGCAGGTGCACCAAGATTACTGGTTACGCTCAATTACTACTGGAGATATACTCGACGTGGAAATCGAGTCTGCCCCGGAAAACAAGTATTCGGAATCTTTCAGCGACTGAAGATCTTCTTGTTCGTCCAACGCGATATGCGATTTTTGGACCTACTACTAGCTTTTGGTCGCCCGCATTTCTGACAATACCACTCGGTAATCCCGCGTGATGTAACAAAGACTGAGACACTCGACATGGACGTTGACTGAGGGGTTGGTAGGTAGAAAGTCCATTTCATTCCATAGCTTCGCTGCTTGAAGTTCGAAGGCCCCGACTACCTATATGACTACCTTCGTGTGTGGTCTTTGACCTTCGCTCGACTAACGTCTGACAGGTCGCTCTAGGTCTGCCTTCGCTATCAACCAAGCCATGACGCTGACACAGGAATGCTTCAATCATGGTTTAACGTGACGGAGGGGAGTACCTGATTAGAAGATGTCCAGAAGGAGGTTGTAGGGTGCAGAAAAGAAGCGATAAAGTACGAATGGATAGTCAGCGTAGAATATAAGGTATGCATATATGTAATTGAGGGTCGAATCAATGAGAGATAGCGCCGGGCCTGTAGAACATGAGTCTTCCAGAAGCATCCAAAAGCAAAAAACGGAACGAAGAAAAAATAGGTGCAAGGCCAGAGTCTCAGGTTGAAGAAGGAACCTGGGCGGTTCTGAGTTCAACCACAAGCTCACATAACGGCGTCGGTCAGTACAAACAGAACACTACCGCACCGCCGTTGGACGGGGGGTCGTTCATAGCAGTCGCCATAACTTTGTAAGCTAGTACTGGTCAATAACTCGTACGAGGTACCTTCAATCGGAGGGCGTATAATGTGCATCATGGGTCGCTCGCCTTTCGGCACAATTTAACAATCTGGGGACAAACAACGGGGGGACAGTCCCTGTTTGGTTTCAGGCGGTTTGAGGGACGGAAGAGACGGAAACTCACGAGAAGCAAGCCACATAGCAATTATATCAAGCTCAAGAGGCGATGACAGAAGAAGTATACAGGAGCGAGCTGACTGTGTGAGGAAGAATTCTGAGTCGAGAGAGAGATACATACAATATGAACACCCGAGAAACTCCACGTTTGTTAGAGGTATATTAGTTCTTTGCATACATGGCTAGCGACGACGCAAGCTTAAGGAGAAACCATGAGTATAACGACAGGAAAGGAATGCAAAAATACAAGAACTCACATTGACATGATAATGGAGGCTGTGAATAGTATCGCTAGCATGCAGACCTCAACGAAGCATTTTCCAGAAAAGAAATTCTGAACGTTCGATGTACCGTCTTGCGAGCTGGAATCTGGAGGTGTTGCTGACGGTCCTTTGCAGGGGTACGAGTGGGAACTTTCGGGAGGTATGATCTGTGCGGCAACCGAGTCATCGCTGTCGGTGCGTGTGTGTGGTCGACCTCGGATGGGCGTCTCTTCGTCCAGGTCGGGATAAGGTTCCAGGGGTGGCGAAACTAATAGATTCGCATGATGAAGGAGGTCTGTCATCAACTGACGACCAGGAACTCACCAGATGTGCTGCCTCGTTCCATGTGACTCTGAGATAGATGGGGTGAAGCACTGGTGGCGGCGGGGACAGGAATGTCCATGTGGGCGGTCAAAGCCATTTGTAACGCCATGGTTAGAAGTAGTGGTAAACTTTGACGCTCAGCAGGAACAGCTTGCAGAGGAGCTAAAAGTCGTCGTTGGCATAATACCATAATGATGATGATTCAATGTCCGACCTGATATACGCTGCCCATGATTGATATCTCTCGAGGCTTGCCCAACGGAACTGCCAGCATACACATCCCCGTTGTGAGTACGGTGGATATTGATTGATGATGGTCCTGGGCCGGCAGTACTACCGGTAGGCTGACGCGTCCTCCTCTCAGAGTTCTCCTTGGTCTCACGGGGCGGCGAGTCCCTCTTGTCCTTCATAGAGGGGAAACGAAGGTGAGTGTTTGGGCTAGACAATAGCATTAGGGCCAACCTTGACTGTGCCTTTCGAGTTCCTCTCCAACCCTGACTCGTCGCCTACGGACAGCCTCCCCTGCGCTTCTGGTTCCAGTAGCGCTGTTGCACGAGTACCAATCCGATCCTCGCGGGAGCAGTTTGTGTCTCGACTTCTGCGGGTATGAGAACTTGCAATTCCTGCCTCGTAAGAAGCCCGAGGCGAACTAAGGTTATCTGCCATTCTCCTTCCACTTTCATCCGTCGCAATGCACAGAGCAGAGGTATCGGAGTCCGACTCGTCGTCCCTCGAGTACAGGTGCCGCACCACTTCCTTTCCGCTTGAGCCGGGTGGAAGAGGGCGTGGGATATGGGGTGGTAAGTGGACAAAGTGATGAACGAAATCTTGAACCAATCTCCCGTCTTTCAACCTTTATAGTCCAAGCTTCAGTTGTGTTGAAGCCGCCTACATTATACCAAGTAATGATAAAGACCCGGAGTATGATAAAGTGGACGGCTCACCAATAATCCGAATTGAAATATAGAAATAAAAAAATAAGAAATTAAGAAATCAAGAGATTACGAAATCAAGAAAATAAGAATACCTAAGATATTTCGTCGATATGACGCCCTCAACGTGGTGATTAAATGTAGTCGAGTCTAATCTCGACCTCTATTCACTAGTGTCTTCCCGGTGTCCCTGCTCTTGAACTAAAGACTGGTTGAATCAGTCCCCGAGAACACCTGAATACGGGAAAGTACCTGTTGCGGTTCGGGCTTGTTATTTCGAGGCGCCTCAGTTGTTACCACTCTGAGTCTCCAATTCCCGTTGACTTCTGCAATCAAGTAGAATAGAACACACAGTTGGAGGAACTGGGCCTTGACAGGGTAGATAAACAGATCGGTAACATGCGCAACAAGCAAAACGCCGAATGGGAAGAGTATCGTTTTTCGGGTACGGTCGTAATCTCAGAAGGCCCCAAGCTTCTCCCGTTACTATATAAATCGATCCCCTTTATGTACCCCCTGTCGACCGCAGACCCTCTTAAGAATTTCTCTGAGCAGCTTTTCGGCCAGTGAGCAAGTATTCGAAGGCGTACTGGAGACAAATAAGAGGTACCGCATCGACTATGTTTCCCTTTCCATAGGACTGAGCAATCTTCGGGGTGTATGAGCCTCATTTCTCTGAGAGATTCCCTTTGGAGATATGTAGCGGAGGAAACTTGAAACGTTACCAGGGTGGGGGGTACCTGGGGAAAACCTGGGAAACAAGCGCAATGCGTCACGACGGCTCGGAGGAGCTCGGCGGATCGGGGATTCCGTCACCATCATGAATTAATTAATCGTCCACTACTCTGTATTTCTTATTGACCGTCGAGCGCTAGTCGCAGCTTTACACACGGATCTACTCGAGGAACTTTGTCAGAACTATTCGACAGACTAGTTTACAGGCAAGTACACCCATCGACTTGTCCCAGTTGTTGACGACAGTGGTCGTCTTCTCGTCACGTACCCACACAGGTCTTCCCCCCGATTCTGAATTCAATGGCGAGACTAGTGGGCCGTTGTGGTTCGAGCCGAGGTATCATTGCGGGCCGTAGGCAACGCCTCGTGCTGGAAGTTTAAGGAAACCCCTTTAACTCCCGCTCTCAAGGCTCTCAGGGCTCAGTTATTGAATGTATGTTCTGGAGATGAAGACGAAAGGGTTGGTCTGTCAACTATTCATTCTAGGGTGCGCCCTAGTTACGGCCATACGGTGCAGTATCTATAAGTTAATCCATATCCACCGTCTTTCCCCCATAACTGGGCCTCGATCTCGGCAGCCCGATGGCTGATCTCGGTGACCTGGACGTTCCTAGCAAATGTAAGCTCACGGGTCCGCTATCATGGTACTTATGTCAGTAGACAACTCATGCGCTTATGTAGCAACAAATTCTCATGCGTGCTAGAAAGCGAGCTGCTAGTACTAACCGGAACCGGTCAGGACCTTCCATCATTCAGTCGATCATTTACATTGATTTTGGGTCTGCTTGCTGAGAGAGAAGTATGTGGAGAAGTCTTAGATGTCGGCACCCGTAGATTGAGAGTGAAACTGGTCGTAGGAGAATATCGACGTCATACCACTTGAATAATCAACTTGATGGTAGTAGGTTCGTCGTTGGCTCATACTACGAGCCTCGAGGCAACTCCGATGATGGGTCTGGAGCCACACTGCTATTCAGACCACCAAAACTAATACGTGCCAGGTTTGTCACGGCGTCAGCCTATCTGGGCAGTCTACCCACGGATATTGACCTGTGCGACCCAGTCTAGCACCCTGGGAGACGACGGATTAACCTCCGAAGCACCACATATATCTCCCACTCCTTTGGGATTCAATGAATTCGATCTTCACACAAATGCGTGGGGAAAAAAGTGGGACTTGAACTTTGGAACTTGAATCTCTAGTGCAGTACTATGTTGTACCGAAATGTTCATCTTCTTTCCTGAACTTGAATGAACCTTCGGGGAACATCGTACAGAGGGCAAAGCCCCAGGAAGCCAGGAAGCACAAGTCGAGCTTTGCCGCCACCAGAAGAAGCTTCCAGGCGGCCCCGCACTATTCTTACGCGTGTCCAAGCCCACGAAACTATATGTTCGACACGCTTGATTGTACCATATGGAGAGGCTGGCTTGATAGGTCATATAACAATAATTAGCTCGATCATGGTCGTGCTTGACTTATACGACTCGCAGCGAGCACTGAGGCGACACGCGATTGTACATGTGGAGAATTTGGCTCAATTGTCCAACAAAATGTTGAGTGTGAGAAGAAGTTGAATCTATAGACAACTAGTGCGCTTACCGTTGTGTGGGGGAACAAACACTAATTTCGACTATAATTTGGTCGACCGCGTGCTACGCATCTCATCCTGAATGTGGACCTTGATTCGGACCAAATTGAATAATCCAGCTCCGCCTCGACTGAATGTCCCGACGAGGGGTGCTTTGAGGGGGGGTGGAGCTGAGGACGCGAAGCCTCTATGCAAAGTAACTCCACAGGCCTTTTATGTCCGTTTTTCTTCTTCGTCGTGTTGGGCATGAATCAAAGCGGGAAACAGAAAACAAATGAAAACAGAAAAGCAGAACCGGTCGTAGGTGTATGACAGTAGCAGCTGTAGGCCGTCGTTCTGTTTATACATATGGAACGGCGCCGTACGAAGAGTGCAACTCCGGTGACCATCGTTTGCTTCTCGGACCCTTCAACACACCTTTGTGGTGAATTCGACGGCGAGCTTTGCCTCCCTCCGAGTGCGTGTGCATGTTATTTTGGAGAAGCTGGAAATTTGCATCGAACCCTGGAACCCGAGCAGCCTGATTCTTCGGTAAATTGTGGAAGGTGAGACCCATGAAGCAATATCGATGTCAACGGAGAAAAGCGTACGAGTGCTCACCTGGTTCGTTATTTCGTGATGTCGCCCTCCACTTCTCTACCAAACTCAATGCCAGACATTTCCTCCGGGGTTGATTTGCCGATGCTGATGGTGGTGGTCAAGTCCAAAGACCTGTGGGCAGCAACACGACAACGTAAAGACCCTCATCATTGGCCGCATGCCACTCCCACTGGAATCATCATTCGAGCCCTTCCACCAACGGGGAAAGAAAATAGACATACAGATGTGTAGCAGCAACTTGTTTCGATCAAGTGACCTCGGGGTACCATTGAGCAAACCACGAGCACGACATATGGGCCCCGCGCGCTACCACTGCGCCATGCTGCTGACCAGGAGACCGACTGGCTTAAAGCCCCATATTGAGCGGTCGCGAATGCGTCTTTCTTGGTAGGTATGTCGTTAGATTCGTAAGTAAGTAAAAGACGACGCATGATAAGTATGTAGGTAACGACAGCGATAGATGGAGGTAGATGATAGCAATAACGAAGCTGTATGTAGTCCATTGAGACAGAACGAGAGAAAAGAAAGGTAATAAGTATAGTATGTGCGATATGCAGTCCGTCCAGATTCCAAAAGCCCAGGGAAAAAATACAACGACATATGTTAGTCTCTCGTATAATCCGGAGGTAAATCCTCCACAAGCGCCCCCGAGCCTTGTCCATACCGAACCCCACTGTCCTCGTGCCTCCGATACGTCGTATTTACGATTTGCCGCTGTTCACCTTTCATCGATCTGTAGTTGTCGTTGCTACTTGACCCAGCAGACGTGTCGGCATACGGGTCGAAGTAGGAGTGGTGGGACGTAGATTCGGCATCGGGTGGGGAGAGTGTGACAACAGAGCCTGATTGAGATTGGTTATGTCGTGAATGTTGTGGTCTGCTCCCAGATCCCGACGCGGAGCCAGAAGCACCACCGAGAAGAGGAACGGTAGCCGACGATGTGGACATGTTCGAGTATCGTTGACTCTGTTTTTCGGGTGGATACGATGTCGTACTCGTTCTTCCTCCCGCTACCCCAGCCGCAGTCCCTCCAGTCTCCCAAGGCGCCACAGGATTCACGTACGGTCTGTGTTCCTCCTCCGGAACGAAAGGTGTCACAGCCGCATACGTATGACCACCACCACCCAGATACATCCCTGACCCTCCAGCACCACCATACCAAGGCGAATCCGTCACCCCTTCCCTCCGATTTCTCTTCCACCGCTTCATAAAGAACCAAACCCCCAATCCGAGTAGAGCGAGCCCAACAAGCCCACCAAACGCAGCCCCCAAAATCATCCCCATCGCCGGTTTGCTTTTGTCCGAAGACGTCGAAACCATCCCCACGGGTGTAACCAGAAAATAGTCTACGACTAACCACTGAATCGGCGGTTTATCCGAATCGTACACACCTTCGTACGTTATCGCCATTTCGTGTTCCTTATCCCCTGACAGACCCGACGCGTTGAACAAGAGTTGGTTTTGGAAGTCTTGGGCTTGGCCGTTTGACATCTTTTTAGAGGCGGGGATGGTGAATGATGTGTCTTGGGCGTCGTCGATGTGATAGCGGGCTGGGGCGGAAGACCAGGGTTGAGTTGCGTTGGAGCCTTCGATGAAGGAGAAGAAGGATATGGATGTGCCTGTGGTGAATGTTAGTTGGCTGAGAGGAGAAGTAGAGTAGAATGCAGACGCACCGTTGAATTTAACCTGGACCGTACCACTCGTTTTCCCAGTCCCATTGAACCCACCACCAATATCTTTCCATTGAGAGCTTCCGTTGAGGTAGTTGACGCTGGTGTCACTACTGTCGATTTTGATCCACCCTCCATGACGTACCCCACCCTCTCCATCGACACCATCCAAACTAAGACCCTTCTCCTCATCCAAAGGCGCATACTCGAGATAATCCAACCAAAACTCCGTATCGTTCGGTTCCGTCACCGTCACGTTCACACTCAACTTGTGGGCTTTACGGGACATGTGTCCCAGCTCACAGAGGTTGTTATGTGTCGTCCGGTTCTCATCGGTGAATGGAAATGAAGGAATGGGGGAACCGTCGACGTAACATATCCATGAGGGGGCTGTTTTGTTGTTTTGGACATCTTGTGCACCTCGGACGAGGATGTAGTCGCCTACCAGTCGAGGAGTTAGAGCGTACAGTAAACAAAAAAGACGAGATCCACGCACCTTCGAAATCAAACTCGAACCAAGCCCCTTCCTTCTTCTTCGTCCCATGCATCGTATGGTTGAGCGGAGGCCCATATCGACCCTGGTCTTCGAATGCCTTCGTACCAACGTCGAGAGCCCAATCGTCAGAGCCAGAATAACGAATCCGTGGATGCGTATCGTCGATGACGACTCGACGGGGGTAGTCTATGTTGGATGCTTCTGACATTTCTAAACGTGCGTTACGATGGTAAGGCTGTGTGTATGGTCGCCGAGATGGTAGAGAAGAACTAATCCCAGGGCTGTTCGTTTGCAGAGGAAGCACGAGCAAGAAGGTCGAGAAGGAAAGAAAGGGTTATCCGTCGTCGCTGGGTTGGAAAAAAACGAGGCCACTGCCCACTATGCCCAGCGGTCGGTTGGGCACCGAGACAACCGAATTGTGCGCCTGAGACAACAATGCCAATGGCTGTGTCGAGGTCGAGGGGAGTGCGTGCTCCTCAGGGTCTCCAATTCTGTCATATAAGAGGGTAACCAGGTTAATATGTCAATTGCACGCAGGTAACAACAAGCATGCGCACACTGATGATTGAAACAGATAAAACAGATAGAGCCAAAGTGCTATTTCCGTCCTCTACGCTCCATATTCCAGGCTGAATAATTGCTCCAGGGTGATGATTGTCTTGAGGTGTGGAGAGAGAGAAAAGTACCAGAGACTGAGTCACGGCTGGATGATGGATTACGGAGATGGAAGAACGAAGCGAAAAGGACATCTGGAACGGTAAAACGGACCTGGGCGCTAGAATTGAAACTCGGATATCGCCCAGCCTATTTCCGCCTCGCCAAACAATCTCACACCGCTAAAGCAGATCCATGTTTAAACTTCGGCTCCATACCTACAGCAGCATGGCGCAGTGGTAGCGCGCGGGGCCCATATTGACCACGATGAGGGAACCCCGAGGTCACTTGATCGAAACAAGTTGCTGCTATTGATCGTTTCCAGGTTCTTTTATTGTCGGTGGTCGGTGCATGCTTGATACCTTCAACATTAGCAAATTACTGACTCGAGGGAGAAGGAGATGGATTTGGTAGATGATACCCCTAGAGAGCTAGAGGGCAACATAACGGTTCACAAAAGCAAATTAGCGGACCAGGTGAGCACTCGTACAATTTTCGAGCTCGAGCGCCATTGACCACTTGCTTCGTGTACCCTCTCCCCACAGACCGAAAAAAAAATCACGACCATTGCCAATTGAAACTCAGTGACCTGCTCAACGTCTTGAAGATTTAACAATCACAAGGCCTGTGTATGAAGGGGCGGAATCAGAAAACCCAACTTCAAGTTCCTTCCGCTATCACTCCTTTCACACGCCCTCAGGACTCCGCCACCCTTAGAGCCTCCTGTAGCCACCCATTGGTCTTCAGGACCTCCGAAAACTATTCTTCTGAGATGATTCACCCAGTCCCAACCTCGCCGATGAGTTCGAGCTCGTCAGAGGTCGAGGCTTCAAATATGGTGATCGTATCACCCTCAGGTGAAGGGTCGTTACGGTCAAAGATATAGACATACAGGATCTATAACGAGGTCGGTTTAGAAATCACGATCTCAGCGACAAGGGTTCCTGCTGCTGCTGCTGCCCCTCCTGACGGCGGGCTAAGAAGTATCGGTTCTTTCGGTAACGAGGACAACGGGTGCTTGGTGACTTGGGCTATCAGTTCCTGACCTATGTACAGGATACCATCTAGAGCAAATGAAAGGTAAATCACGCTAATGTCATTGAAAGATCGCCGCACGCACCATGAATAGCCATGTGCCTGAGACCCTCACCGGGAAAGTACTCTATCTCGGCCGCCGCTTTCCAACCATCCGCTTCGCGATTGAAACGATGTACATGATCTGCAAGGTTAGAGACCAAAATTTCCCTAGGTTGTTGTCGAATTGCCGCCCGCAGGTCCTTGGACTTGACCACCACCTTCAGCATCGGCAAGTCACTCCGGAGGAACTGTCTGGCATGGGTTTCGTAGAGGGGCCTCCCGTTGACATTGATATCACTAGGGCCACAGTAGGTACTTGCTTCATGTGCCTCACCTCCCAAAAACTGAAAAATCACGACCACTGATGCTAATCAAACTCGTTGACTTGCTCAGCATCAATGTTTGCAATCACAAGCCCGGGCTTTCTTCGGCCCTTTCAAATGCCAACCCACCTCTACACAAGATCTTTTTTCTTCTGTGTCAACGTACCTCATCAGCCTTATGCCTGGATTTTCGCAGTTTTATCTCGACTTTCTTGTCCAACATCTGGCAAAAATTGAATGTTGAACACCTCTCGAAACCAACGGTATCTCTTCTTTCTAAATGGATACCGCATAGAACAGATCGAGTCAACCCTCTGACAGGGCCGGATTCCATCCTAGAGATGTCGCTTCCATATCGCCGTGCCCGGTCGAGTCGGTGAGGAGAAACACCGAGAAAAAGACGGGGCGTTTCAAGGATAGTTGTTGTGGTCTGCGAAGCCACGCGGTTCGGTTCTGACAACGGATAAGCTGAGGTTTCCGGCAGGCAAGTCTCTAGACGGACTGAGGCTGACTCCGTGGGGATGAGACTACGGTGCTACGAGATTCCATCGGGCTCTCCAACTGCAGGGTTTGCACGGTACGATGGAAAAACACGATTTCAGATGTAACACGCCAGGTATTTGACGCGGCAAACAGTAACTGGAGAAGTTTATCACATCGGCGTGGATGGGTTCGAAGTCGGCGACACTGATAGGGAGAAGAGAGATTGCCACGATCAAGTCTTACGATGCAAGTGGTCTAATCTGACCAGCAACGCCATCGTGGGTCGGCGTCTTTCAATACACTGTAAGCGCTCATCACTGACCGCAGCGAGTCAACATATTTTCTTACCAGGCACGCCGGAATCATCTTGGTTCTCAATACTTACCGTTTTAACTCCATAAACTCGGTGTGCTCAGTCGCCCCGGACCTACAATGTGGAAACATTCAAGGGGTAAGGTATAAAAGGACTCGTGGACAGCGGATTCTTCATCACTGTAATCAACGACTCCCTACTGTTACCCTCACATCAATCGGCCTCCTCGTTGAACAGAAAAACCGAACGTCAGCAAACGATGGGACACATGATATCAAGACTGCGACGCTTCGAGACGGAATTGGCGCCGG